ATCCATCCACTCAGCCATCCACCCATCTATCCAATACCTACCCATCCATCCACTCAGCCATTCATGTTTCCATCCATCCATCCAACACCCACAGATTTCCTGCCCCCAGTGTGGCTCAGATGCTGTACTGATAAAGGAGCAGAGGCCCCTCCAGGCAGTGGATGCCTATGGGAAGAGCAGGGAGGGGGTCCTCAAGATGCCCGTCCTTCCCCAGACCATCAATCGGCTTCCCACTGGCACTGAGTCAGTGGTCTGCTCTGCTCCCAAAGGCCAGCACTCGGTACAGGCTTCTGGTGTTTGTTCTCTTCATCGCTGACTCGGCTGGGCTTGGCCCCAGGGCTGACCCTGCCTGCACTGAGCTCTCAGGGACCCACGGACCAGCCGGCTCCCTGCTGTACAGCCTAGGCCCAGCCACAGGAGGGCTGGCACACAGTGGGTACAGGGCAGGGTGCAGGGCAGGGAGCACGGCTGGCAGTGAGGTAGTCAGTGCTGTCCCTGAGAGTCATTCACTGAGTTCTCAGGCTGCTTTCTTGGAGCTCCGCCCCCACCCCAGGTGCCCTGTGGGGCTCCAGAGGGGACAGAGGGCACTGAGCAGCACAAAGGCAAACACCCCCCAGAGCTCAGCATAGTACATCCCCGTGTAGCAGGTGGATGGTTTCAGTGTGCATCCTGCTTCAAACCTAAAGAAACGACCTGGCAGGATCTGGGGTTCTTTTGCTCACTCTACTTGTTGACATTGGGGTTCCCATCAGAAGAAAACAGAGGCCTATTTTCTAGGATCTAGGAGGAAGCAGGTGCTGGGTAAGAGGTGAGGGTGGGGGGTGCTCAGGTTGTGGGTGCAGACCCCTGCAAAGCAAGGCCTGCCTGCAGCGTGTTGTGGTGCTAGGCTGGGGAGCTGCTCTGGGGCAGGACTCCTGAAGTTAGGGCACAGTGTGTCCGAGAGCAGGGCTCATGGCGCTGAGGACAAGTTATTTCCGCTCCAGTCCCTTGGTTCTCTTTATTTGTGGCATCAGCTGTGGGTTACTAAGGGCGGGCTCTACTGGAGACCAATTTCTGGGGGGCATGTCTGGTCCTGCTCTGAACAATCCATGCCCTAAATCCTCAGGGTGCCAGAGATGCTAGGGGTACCAGGTCAGAGACTCCACATTGCATGATGGAAGTGGCAGCTGGGACAGACCTGAGGGCCCTTCCCCAGGTGCCTCGGAGACACAACAGACAAGGGCTAACAAAGCTGGGCCACATTGCCCCCTTCAGAGCTGCCACGGCCACCAGGCCTGCTCAGTGCCCATGGAGGGAACAATGGACACCCATGGGTTTAGAACTCCAGACCTAGACTTTAAAGCAAACCTATCCCTAACCCACTGCGGAGCCCTGCACTCCTGCCCTGGCCTGGAAGACGGGGCTACAAGGGCTGGTGGGGACGTGAGGCCAGCATTCTAGGAGTGGTGTTCTGGAAGGCTCGGCTTTGGAGAGCAACCTGAGAAACAGCAGCAAGCTCCTCTGAGGCCGGGTGAGGAAGAGGGGACCGAGGGGTACCAGGGGGTGGGGGCAACCTCCCCAAGCCTGCCAACACACACACAAGGAAGCTTTGAGGTGGTGTAGTCACTGGTGGGAGGGCCTGCCATGGCGCATGCTGCCCCAGGCTTCAGGAGGGAAAGCAGCCCACCAGGGCCATGGAGACTTCCCCTAGTGGCTTCCTCACCCCGTGGGCAGCTGACCCCATGAGTTTGCTGACCTTTGAGCCCTAGAGCAGCACTGAGAGTGGCTGGGTTCCCAGAGGGCCTCCGACAGCCAAAGTCGCTCTCCAGAGCACTTCCGACCACTTAGCCAGCCCGCCACCCAGTCGCCCAAGCACATCAGACATAATGGCAGTGTTTACACATCCAAAATGGCCAGCTGTTTTACTACCAGCTTTCAGAGAGTCACAAGAGCAGCTACTTGGGAAAGTTTCCTGCAAATGATGGCCACAAAGTCTAGGGGTGAGCTGATGGGGCACTAAAACCACTGGGAAAAGTCATCGAAGACCATTAGCATCAAACGTTCTGCCAAGAGAGAGCAGGAGAGCCCTGCAGGTGGCTGCCAATCCCTCCTCCCGATCCCGGAGCCTCCCTCCTAATCCCCACTAAGGTCGGTGTGGCCGCGGTAGCGCCTCATCTGTTACCCGTGCAGGGAACATAAATTACTGTTTGCTACAATTTAATCTCTACCCAGAGGAGCGAGCGGCTTACCTTTCCATCTCATATTCTTTCATGCCCACTTTTACAGCCTTCATTACCTGGAGGACGGATATTAAGCAGAGAGATTTGTATTAAGGAGATAAGTAACACAGCCTCATAAATAATGCAGCACACCTGTTCAAAGGAGTCTCTTCTTTAAATAAATAAATGAATGGATGTTACCCGCACACAGTGGAGCAGAGATGTGACAAATTACGAGTTTTTCTTCCGGCTCCAGACCTGTAGTTTATTGAGAGCACCGTGGAGTTCTTCTCTCCTCAGGGGGATGAACATGGTGGTAACGGCGCCGAGGATGGGGATGGGGACAAGCTAAAATGACTACTGGGGCCAAGCTTGCCTTGGTTCAACTTGTGTAAAAACATGAAGGAAATGAACTTGTACACGAGATTCTGTTTGCCTTAAACGGCTCCCGTCGGTTCCTACCGGTAAGAAGGAGCCCTGGTGACATAGGGTTACGAGATAGGCTGCAATCCAGAAGGTCAGCAGTTTGAACCTACCAGCTGCTCCTCAGGAGAAAGGTGAGGCCTTCGACTCCTGTTCGGAGTTAAGCTTCAGAACCCCACAGGGGCAGGTCTGCCCTGTCTTATATACAGTATAGGGTCTCTATGAGTCAGAATCTTGCGGAATGTTGTTGGCAGCGAATTGAGAGGGGG